AGCCATCGTTGCGTGTCAGTGGAGACTTTCTTGCTGCTGTGCTTATAAACAGGTTCAACCGAGCTTCCAGATTACAATAGAAACGGGAGAGAGGCTTAACGATCTACCTGCAGAAAACCAGCTAATGAAAACCCCACCGGATTACACCGCTCCAGCCATTGGCCTTCGCCAGGCTGCCTTCCCTGAATGGTCACCGGATACTGACATCCAGTTTGGTCCTCTTCTGGATCCACAGGTGTTCTACCAAAGAAATGCAAATAATACCCACGGCTCATAAGTAGGCAAACTGGCAAAGCTAGAGCAGTGGGTAAACAATATACTTGCCCTCTTTCAGGGCAAGCGTGTGGGCCCAGGACAGCAGTCATCTACAGAGTCCACAAACATCAACTTTGGCTAAGGTGACCAGACGTCCCGATTTTTAACAATTTTTCCTGTGTCCCGTAGCATTTTGAAAAAGTCCTGATTTTTGGACAGAATGCACAACAAGCTAGGGTAAACGGTTTTTGGCTGCCATGTGGCTATTTTGCCAGGATATGAGTTTTATCAATGGTGTCCCGCTTTACCAATGTTAAAATCTGGTCACCTTAATTTGGCCCTCCTAACTACACCAAGAACCGGAAGTGTGGATGCTATAGATAAACAAACACATGAACACTGTATAGCCAGGACTCAAGTAGTGTGACCCCTTGAACCCTAAAGGCAATTTAAATGTATTAATATACCCCTATGCTTGCATCCTGTTTCTCACCATGTGTTTTAAAATAATGGAATCAACAATGTAGCCGAAGCATCTTCATTCTGATCCATTACCTCTGGGTTAGCTACCCTGGTATGTACTTGGAGATGACTCACTACAGTCAAGGTTATTTCCAGGACTTCCAGTCAGTTGATTCCAGTTCCATTCCCTACTGACTCAGTATCTCCAGGGTGCAAATGCAGATTCTCAGCAGGGGATGGGGCTAGAATGAACCAGTCCTAAGCCCTGGTTGGGAAAGCCTCTCCAAAGGCACAGAAATTTGGATTGCAGAAGAGCTCTGATCTGGACACTATCTCAGAGAAAACGCCCACGTATCCCTAATGAGCGTGCAGAGTCCCAAATGAGGGCGAGAATACCAAGGAGCATTTATTCAGTAACTCTCGGAGAAGCTCACAGCAGCATTACTGTTGGAAGGAAAAAATACATAAGGCAACGATCCTCAACATTAACCCCACAATCTCCTTCTTGCTGAGAGTTAAGAAAATCTACTTTTTCCGGATAAGCTATGTTTTAAGAGCACCCATTCAAAAGACATTAGGCTACCACAAACAGAGAAAAGGTTATAAGTTCCTTAATGAGGCTGCATTGACTTTAGGAAAAAATCATTGTAAGAAGGAAAGCGAGCTGGAAAGCCTGGGAAACTTGCTTAAGGAAGCTGTGCACATCCCAGACCAGCAGTTCCTGAGCTGATCAACGCCAGTCATTTTATTTATGGATCGATACTGACTGCGACCATGGGCTCAAACCAAACTGTGAGGGTGGCATAGGACAGGGCAGTGTTTCGTTCAATAGTGCAAAGAGCCACAATGAGTGGGAACCAATCGGATGGCACCCCACAACATCTGTATTTTCCCAGCACACAGTAGTTAGACAAAAGTTCCCAACACATAATAAGGGCTCAAATGAATGTGCTGAATTAACAGAAAATTGAAACGTCACCATTTATATCCTTGATTCACCTCAGACAAATTCATTTTAATTAGGTTTTGAGAAATTCCTCTGGATACAGGCTTAATTTCAGATCTCAAATTAGCATGCTTCATAACACTAAGTCTGTATCTTGAAGTCAGACCTCACATTTTGCTTTTTAAAATTCATTCGAATAGCCCATGACCCCTGCGAAGCTCCCTACAATGAGAAACAAATGTGTCAAGCAAGTAGATGGCTGTCATAGTCAATGCTCTGACCATCCTACAGTTTGAAAAGTAACTGGAAGGTAGAAGCACATGCCACATAAGAAAGGTCAGGTCCAGCCTGAAGACATCTTAGGGGACCATCACGTAAACCATCAGAAGAGGAACTGAACTAGAAACCGTGCAGGATGGTACACACACAGCTGCGAAGCAGGAGCTACAACCAAAGACAGAGGCGTGGAAAACACTGGACCGAGTGGGAAATGAGACGAGAAGAGCAGGAAAGAATGTAGGGTTCTCAAGTTCACTTCTGGAAAGAGAGTGTTCTCCATCACTGCTGAAACAGGAGGTGTGTTTAAATCGCAAAGGCAAAGATTAGAAGTCAGACGTTCCTAGTCCATAAATAAAATTATGAAGCACATGAATGGCTGAGTGAATTCCCTTCCAAGTGTCCTGCCAAGCTCCCTCACTCTGTACATTTCATATAGCCACGTATTGCTAAAGTACCTGTGAGTTAGAGGAAGCATGTCGACATCAGACATTCTGGCACTGTCTTTTACACTGTGTTAATATCATTTCTAAATCCTAGGTATTTTAAGAATTGACTTGAAATAGTAGGTCGATGAACTAATTTTTTTTAATGCGCACAATGAAAAGAGGGTGTCTTATACAGTTCTATGTCTTCTGCAGCTCACAGCATAGAAACCAGGGCTGTGAACTGGTCCACTCTGGCTGGACACCCTGCTGACAATTTGCATGTTCACCCCAGTTATACTGAATCCAAATCTCCATTTTAACAAAATGCAAGTTCCCAAGGGGGTGGGGGGAGCGCAAGAACTAAAGTGAACTGATTTGAAGTACTGATAGAAACAGGCAGCTGAAAAGCCTTCAAAAATGCTAGATTTCAGTATTGCCATCTTCTGAGGCCAACATCATAATTGAAGATTAAGGTAAATACCACCACTACCTTCACCACCAGTGGAAAGTAAGTCTGGAAATTTCCCCGCAAATGCACGTCCATGTTAAGCAAGAGAAGTGCCTCCTTCCTCACAAAAGCCTAAGAATGCATCTTTTATTTGCAAACTTAATCCTCTCCAACTGGTACTACTCACTGACCCCCAAAACACAATGCATGGTCTGTTCCGCCACGTTCCTGCTTGAACTGTGTTCTTGGTGAGATGAGTGAAACGTCACTGCCTCTCATCTAGTTTCAGTCTTTGCGGGAAGCACATTCAGAGGCCAGATGTTTATTGTTCCAGGTCACAGTGCCAACAATGGTTTTCATTTCAAAATATCATCCCCCTAAACTGGTTTATTCACATAAGAAGCAGACATAGTTCCGTGACAAGCCCTTTTAAATCCATTAAACCTATTACTCTGAAGCACAGAACCCAAATACAGGGCTGGTGTCCCATTTGGTGGAGTGGGTGGTGTTCTACTTGATAAATTTTCATAAGCTGCTATCTGGACTACTAGGGAGTCAGTCGCTGGATTTAACAAACTCCTTGAAGAGTTCATTCATTTCTGTTACTCCTGCTTTACTCACTGTGAGACAACTTAATCTCATTGTTTTCTTCCTAAGGGGTTGGAGGAGGATTCCAAGAGAAGCGGGGAGGGGGGGGCGTGAAACTGAGCTCTGTGGACTGAGGCCTGAGGAAAGGCTCCTGGGGAGACAACCGCTGGAGTTAGAGCTGAGGGAGTGCGGGCTGGGGGCAGGGGGGAGAGTGAATGAGTAGCACAGGCAAATAGTAAGCACTGCAAAGACTTCGCTTCCTTTAAAACTAGACTCGTCAACAGCTTACTTAAGGTACAGTGTACCTGGCATAGCCCAGGCACAGTCAGAACCCTGGCCTGCCAAGGGCACTGAAGGCTACCAGCAACACCTGTAACTGAATTCATAGATTACTACTTCGTTTCAAGGTAGAGATCTTTCCTAAGCCAAGCAAGAATAGCTTTCTCTTTGAACAACCCCACATAAATGAACTTATCTTACAGCCTCTTAATGGAAATTTCATACCCTGGAACTAAAACAGGCACGGTAGTTTTAGATTTCAAGGATATATTTGAAAAAGAATATATCAAATTCCAAATCTATCGTACTCATATACTGTCAGGGCTGGGAAATGGTCTCAAACTACATATCCTTTCACCGCAATGCTCCAGATAGACCTAGGCGGGCATGCCGGAACCTTAGGACCACGTTGGTAGGCAGGAACACCTTGAAGAAGCGCTGCAGAAGGGTCTGATACTCAACCAACCGCCTCTGTCCCCACTGCCATTCTCAGCTCATTGTGCTCCACGTCCAAAGCGGAGGTATGTGTGTGACTCACACAGTGGACTACACGTTCAGTCTTTAGGACAGAGCATTATAAATGCAACTGGAATTTATCCAGTTGTTAAGAGGGAAACATAAATCACAAAGGACAAATCAATTTTACTTCTTTCACAAATTCCGTTTTAAATCTATGTAACAAATTCTGAACTCAAGGCTGTTTACGAGTAATAGCTTTTCAATTAAAGTATTTGAACCAACTAAATGTAGTTCCATAAATCAAGCTTTCACTTTTTACCTAGTAGCACCACACACACACACACATACACACACACACACACACACACACACACACAAAGTTCCAACATTCCTCACAATCCACTTATACTTAAGAGATCTCAGGTTTTGCTGAAGCAAGTAAGTAAAGAATATTTCAAGGTTACCATAGCTCCCATTATACATTCTGCCTCATATCCTACAGCATTTAGAATGTGATTTTTAAATTCTTATCTACAAGTACTCTTGGGAAAAACACTTAAATAAGTCATTCTTGTTCAAACTAACATTCCCAGTGTCTAGTCTTCTAGTCCACTGGACTGCATCTCACAATCACAAAACTTCTTCAACTTTGACAGTATTCTCAATTTCTACTGATTTATGCAACCATAAGGCACATTAAGAGATATGATAGATTTCTCTCAAATGCCAGACCTTTAAAATCGCCTTACAACATATGTCCATCAACAAGCTTCATTCTTTACATACTCGACCAGTAGTTGTCAAATCTATTCTGCATACAGATAGGGCCAAATAATAAAAACTGAGAAAGGATACTTACCTTAATTGGCTCACTACTAAACTTGATTTTTCTATTTGCTGGGATGTCGTCTTCTTCGGGCAACCCAACAATTTCTGAGTATTCCATATCAGGTTGACAGTAATTGTTTTCATCACTATCTTCCTGTTCATCCTGTTCGGTGCCCGTCTCTCCCCAGTCTGAATTATACCTGGATCTTACTCTATACACATTATAGTCACTGTGCATGTAAACATGGGAACTCTCAGAATTATTTACATCTTCAGGTGTTTCTTTTCCATAAGTGGATCCAGGAGCATCACCAGAAGGGAAATCACCGCCTCCAAGTTCTTTTCTCTGATGCTTTGCTGCATCATCCCCAACCAAATTAGCTTCGGCATCTCCTAAAGTTTCATTTGAGGGCGAACAGGTTTCAGGCTCTGGCGTTGCCTTATTTCCAGCACACGGCTCTTCAAGAACATCTTGGCCAATTCTGCCAGTCGTCTCTTGGTTAGGTCTTGAGTCCTTGGCTCCCTGGCTCTGCTGTGTCCCCTCACTAGACATTGAAACTAGGGTACCTTTAGAGGCCACTTCTGGTGCTGGAGCTATTTTGCTCTTCTGAGCATCCTCTGCATCAGAACCTTCTTTGTTTGAAGGAGACCAAGAATTAGAATCCTTAAGGTGACCAAAAGTATCAAGATTGGTAACCGTGGGTGGCAAATTCAGTGGATAATGCCCAGTCACGGAGTACTCTTCGTTGTTTTCCCCCTTCTCTGAAAGGGCATTGGGAGAATCGGAGTTCTCAAATACTGCACTCAGTTGACTCACAGTTGGGGAGACCGCCTCCGTTCGGGAGCTAAGACTGTCCAAGGAATCCGTGCTACCTCTGTTGGACTTGGCCCCGCCCCAATCATCCTGGGGCTCACTCCCTGCAGCTTTCTCTTCTTTCTTTGGGGAATAGCGGTTATTGTGTCCTGATTCGCACACACTTCTCTCAAACATCTTGCGAGTTTCTGTGAACTTGGAATAGGAAGGGCCATCGTGCATGGTGTCAAATCTACTAATTCGCTCTGAGACAGAGGGCTCCAACTGAACCACTGAGCCGTCTGTCTTCTCCAGAAACTCTCTGGGCTTCATCCTTCTCTGCGGGGAAGGAGGTCTCCCTTTCCCCCTGGCTTTGGCAATGACTGCAGCATTCTCACTGGGTTCCATCCCCATCTGCATGAAGAGGTTTTTAATGCGATTGACATTGGAGCCATATTTCCTCCCTCGGCTCTGCTGGGAGCCCTCACCTTCTTTTGCTTTTTGCTCCCCGTCTGACTTGGGTTTGTCAAAGGTGCTTTTCAATGCCTGGAACTCGGTTCGGTATGCATTCCTGTGAGGAGAGGCACTTCGGAGAGAGGTCCGTTCACCTGATGACTCCGTTTTCAACATGTTTACTTCAGAAGGGAAAAGCCAATGTTCATAATGATTAAAAAAAAAAAAGTAATAACTAAAACCACTCTCTTCTCTAATCACCGGTACTTGGTCAACAAAAAGTATCTCTCAGATGACATACTCAGTCAGTGATCCTCCCAAACAGGTGTATTAGGAAAAGATTCACAGGCAAGGGTTACACAAAATGGCTTTTTCAAAGCAAGACTAGAGGTTCATCTGTAATAGAAAAGAATACATTTCTGAATTCATTTACTTATTTGAATATATGGTTAACACACTAATGCATACTTTTATTTTCAAAGAGACTTAGCCATGGACCAAGGAAAGGACATCACTTATTCAAGTGGAAAACTAAAAGTCAAGAAGATTAAAGAAAAAAAAATCTTATGACTAGTCTAGGGGACAAAAATGTTCCAAACACAATCTGGAGATCTATAACAAAATCACACACACACACACACACACACACACACACACACAGTGCAAATAAGGACACCTGAAAGCAACACTTTGGCTCAAGTTTAGTTTTGAACTTTTGATAATGTCCTGAAAAGAAACCAGCAGTTCATATATCTTTTAAAAGTCACCAATCTGTCCATAAAATCAACTACATTTGGAATTATCCAAAACTAGGCAGGACTAATCCTGTTTAAGGGCAATTAAAGATTTGGAATCATGTTTACAAACCCTTACACAAGCCTACTGACACTTGCTTTGCTCTTTCTGGTACAATATCCTCATCTTTAGCACCCCAAAGCAACACTAGCACTATTTCAGACCAAAGCAAGCAGGAAAAAGTTATGAAATAGCTGTAAGTTTCACTATAACTGTGAATATTTGGAAGTTTGGGAGATGGAGAAAATCACTGGGATATATGTGTGTGAGAAAGTGACAACCAGGAAGCGAATACACCTTGAAAGCTCTCTTCATAGACCTGATTTGTTTATTCTTTCTTGCCTCCAACTTACTTCAGACTCAAAATTCAATGCATGCTCGCTGGCTTCCTCCAACCCACTGCTGGATTTTATATCAATATGCCAGAAAACAAATGCTTCAAGATCTGCTAAGGCCCGGACAACAGAGGTTCCAAAGATTTTCAATTTGATTTAATGATGTTGTTGGGGTTTGTTGTTGCTTTTTAATTACAGGGACACATGCCACCCTAATGCACAATCCACTGAGAAGCCACACACTTTCCCTTAAATCCTCTCCAGACTGGGTTCCTGGCCCAGCATGCATGCATGGCCCATGCAAAGCCCATAGAAGAAGGGCTTTGAAGTGTGTTGCTTGTTTGTTTGTTTTTTTGTTTGTTTGTTTTGGGAGGTGGGGGTGGAGGTCGGG